ATTAACTTGCAATTTTAAGAAGTTAACTTTCCATATTCTATCCACATTGAACTTGTATTGATATTTTGAGTTAGAAGGTGCTGCCTTGTTCTCTTAATTGGAAAATGAATTTGGTAGAATCTTCTATCTTATATTTAAGTATGACCATCATCATATGGAGTAAGATTGTGACCAAATGTTTTCATAAACAGTCAAATATTCTGGTTTGGTGATTTGAACTATCGTCTAAATGCTTCGGACTCGGAGGCAAGGAGGCTTGTTGCCCAGAAAAAGTGGGACGAACTCATCAACTATGATCAGGTAACTGATTGCTGATTGGCTTCAAAATCTTAAATAACTCAACCAAAACCTCGAAAGTTCTCAAGGAAAATGTCTCTTAATAAAAGTGTCAAAGCAACAGACATCTGATATGTAGTTGATGACATCTCTGTTTTGAGTACTTGGATTAAAGGGAGTAATGGATGTATTGTGGCAGCTTATCAGAGAACTGCGCACGGGGCATGTGTTTGAGGGATGGAAAGAGGGAATATTAGATTTCCCGCCAACTTATAAATATGAATTCAACTCCGATAGATACAATGGCGAAAACCCGAAAGAAGGAGAGAAGAGACGGTCTCCAGCATGGTAAGTCCAACTTTTTAGAACCCATTAGGCTGCAGATGGTTAGCACAATTATGGCTTCAACTCCCTCAATTGCTTGACTTCTTGACCGGTTTTTCTAACTCAATGGAATTAGTCATCTACAAGTTGCATTGACAATCGAACACAAGTATCGAATCACCAAAGTGTTTATCGCATTTTTAAAACATTGGTTGAGTTTTGATTGTAAATTTGACAGGTGCGATCGGATCTTATGGCTGGGAAAGGGCATTAAGCAACTGTGTTACAAGAATGCAGACATAAGGCTATCAGATCACAGGCCAGTGAGCTCAGTGTTTCAAGTTGAGGTTGAAGTTTTGGACCATAGGAAGTTGGAGAGAGCTCTGATTTACACAAATGCAGCTGCAGTTCATCCAGAGATTTTCCCTCTTGAAAGTGGGGAATTTGGCTTAGACTTCTAGCTGAGCAACCCCATTTCACTTCCACCAGGTTACAATAATGATATATATTTTATTCTTTTTGTTTCTTTTTTCTAAATGTTCTTGAAGGAAATGTAGTAATGAAAAGTTGGAAAAAGTAGGAAACCCAATAGTGTTTTCTACAAATATTAACATCATTGTTTTGCACCAAAACTTGAAACTTGAGGGATAATTAGAACTTTCATTTCATCTTTACATTTGTATGAGATATTAGAAGATGGGTTGGTTGAGAGTTGAGTTTAAAGATTTAACTAAGATGAAACTTTTCTTTGAAATTTATTGTCATTTGTTACCAAGACACTGTTTTGTTTGGGTGAATTTTGATGGACCAAGTAAGGGTATTCATGACATTTCACTTGACAGAGTTCTCGATGAAAAATGAGTTATAGGTCTTTGTAAACTTGTTTTCCGCATCTCTTCTACTTGTCAAAATTTTAATCTCGATATCAAAAATTCTCCCTTATGGTTGAGTACCGTGAAAAATATGTTGGACTTTATAAAATGCAAAATTTTCTTTCTCGTCATATGAAAAATTTTCTTACCATCTCCATTTAAATCTTAAATATCATATGAACTATGTATTAAAAAAATGTAATAAAATGAAGCCAACACGAATACTAACAATAATTGACATTTATTTTTAACTAAATCTCTCACCCTCACTTATCGTAAAAAACATCATTCACTCTTTTTTTCTTTTTTTAATAAAAGACATTATTTCTCTTACTAATTACTAAATTTATGTCAATCACCAAGATAGTCAAATGTGTCTAGCCTTCTAACCTTCCACCCATCTGGTATAAAAAAGAAAAATTCTACATTTTTGTTTCAATGTGATTAATTATATTTTAGTCCTTTTTTTTTTTAATTTTTATTGTTATTTACATTTTTTTGGATATCTCACTTTATTCTTTTCCTCACTGTTATATCATTCTCTTCATTCATACCAGTTCGGATTTAAACAATTTTATATCTTTATTTTCATTTGAAGATTTCTAATATAATTTTTATTCTCAAAGATTATTTTACCCTTCTCTTTATTTCGTTCAAATTTGATCATTGGTTTTTTCTCGTGTGTGTGTTCATGGCTCTCTGTATTCAATTCAATTGTCATTGATGGTTTCCAAGAAATAAAAGCTAAAATTACAAATCCATAAGAAAATTTAATGCAAAGTATCCCCTCTATTCAAATGTTGCCACATGTAATATTCTGTGTCAACCCATTGGGAAAAAATATATTATATATTAAATAAATGAGGTTAACATATTTGAAAGTAATACTCAATTTTTTAAACTCTCGAGAAAAATAAATATTTTTATTGTTACTTGAAAATGTTTCACATTTTCTTCACTTGCATAATATAACCATTCAAGGATGTATAAGAGTTTTTATACTTTTTTGTTTCCTCTTATTTTATCTTTATTTCTTTATTTTAATTTTCTTATCCAACAATGTTATATAACTTTCATTATATTGTTAAATGCAGAAAAATATGTATATTGTATTTACTTTTATGTTTTCTTATTTCTTCATTGTTGCAAATTCTGACTATAAATAAATATAATTTTTGTTGATTAACGGTAATGAAAGCAAAAATTAAATAGTAACCTTGAAAAAGGGAAAATATACTCCCATCCCATAGTTTGAAAATTTTCTACTCTCCCCATTTAGAATTTGTCATATGTTTATTATTATAACTAAATTACTTCACAAGATCCTCTCTCAGAGTTTAAAATGATTCATTAGATTCTTTAATTTCTTTATTCTCCCCTCAAAATGTTAAAATTATTCTTTTTTCTTTTTCTTTGTTACGAGCATTTTCAATTTTTTCTCTTTTTATCCTTTCCTAGAATAAAATAAATATACAAATGAAAATGGAGAATAAGATATAAAATTAAAATTTGTTCCAGCTGGAAAATCTTTAATAGTTTGAAGGAAGAAAAAATGAGATGACACTCCCTTTTTTTTCAAAAAAAAAAAGAGTGAAATGTCCACAAATTTATAATAATTACAATTGAAAAGGAAAAAAGGAAAAAAAGAATGAGAACATTAGGTTTGAAAGGAGAATGAAAGCCAAGAAGTGGAAAATAAGAAATCATATGTAATAATTAACAAGAGATATTTGAATAATCGATCAAAAACAAAGAAAGAGTTGAAAAAACAAGATCTACAAGATGAAAATTGTTGGAAATGTTAGAACAATTATAAAGGGGGCATCAGTTCTCCAAGGTGAAAATAGCATCAATGAAATGATTCAGACGCAAATTACCCATTTGATTATATGAGATTCATCATCTGCCAGAAAACGTTGCAGCAACAAAAAAAAACTTGAAACAACAGAGTACAAAACTTTGAAAGAATCAGAGGAGAAAACAGAAACAAAAACAAAAACAAAGCAGAGAGAAAAGCAAATTGAATAGCGATCGGAACCTGTCGGGATTCATGGAAACATCACACTAATATAGTCAGTGGATTGACAGACATGAATTTCTATCGTCACCTCGCATTTTCAGATCCAGAAAAACAAAAAAGAGGAAAACAAAATCAGAAGCAGAAGAAAAACCAAAACGAGAGCTCAGAACTTCTTAGAGGGTTTGTGTAGCCATCACAGGCGACCGCTCGGAAGAGGCCGGCTATGGCACAGAATAGATCTTCATCATAGCTTCAAAAAGACGACGATTGAAGAAGATGATTAAGATTTCTTAATAGCAGAAAACAAGAAAAATTAGATTGAAAACGCCACGGAATTGCGATGGAAAAACGAGGAGAAACCCTAGGGCTGAAGAACAGCGAATTTGCAGTGATGAAAAGAGGGGAGAAAGAGGGCTTTTTATAGACCCGTACCGGCTCGGTCGGAATGCCAGAAACCCTAATTCGTTTCAATTTTGAACATTTTAATGTTGTTTTAAGTCCCTCGCTTCTATACATATTTCTTTTTGGTCCTTTTTTAATTATTTTTTAAAAATTCAACGTATGTGTGAGATTCAAATGTCAAGGACATTTTTCCTTTTACTAGCGTAAAATTTTGTGGTTTTATTTTTGTGTGTAAAAAATATTAAATTAATAAAAAGCTAAAGGATCCCACCTCAAAAGTCTTGAATTTCACTCCTTTTTACAAGATTTTAAAACAACTCCAAATATTTGAAGGTACATATGGTATATGGTAAATGGCAAATTTATTACGCCAAGTTAGAACTCAAAACATACACTCAAAAGTTTATGAAAGTTCAAAGGACGTAATAAAAATTATACCAATTTTATATACGACGTCAAGTTGTAGTTAGTCCATTCATTTTTGTCAGTTTTTGTATTTGTAAAGTATTTTACTTTGTCCTTACATTTTTCTTTTTTCTTTATAACATTTCACGGTAAATGATAGTTGAACTATGCTCAATTAGTTATTTAATAATTAGTTTTTGTTATTAGTTGATTAACAAATAAATTATGTGACGTCATTAAAAAACTAATATGATGCCACATGTATTTTAACGTCAACTAGAGATTGATCTATAATGAAGGACAATTTTAAACTGTTGTCGAGACGTGAAAGTATATGGACAAAACTGTATGTGAAATGTTAAGTTTTCTTTTAATTTAGACTTATGTTTTACAATTACCATTGATCGAAGTGACTTTGACAATAATCAACCCATGTGCATATGAAAATATTTCACACTACCATGTTTTAAAAAATCAAAACGATATGGATAATTTCCTTCCTATGAAAATATAAAATTACAAAACTTTATTATGTCATATAGAGCAAAACTCCCGTCTAGGAATTACTAAAAGAAATTATTGTAACAGAGAACCAGAACCAATAATTAAGAATGGATGATTTTAAAAAAGGCATGAATATTCCTTTAGTATCTGTTTCAGAAGGCTGTATAATATTATATGAATCACTCTAATTTGGTGTTTTATTTAAAAATGCTACTCACAGAGCAATCGTCGTGAACTCGCCAAATGGTTTCACCCAACAGGTTTGCTACTGAAAGAACTGTCAACTGAGGGAAGTAGTTCTCTGTGATTGCTGGAATCGTGTTCGTAACTATTACCTCTTGAAACAACCCGCTCGATAACCTCTCGATCGCCGGGGGGCTGCAGGGCGATGAACAAAATCAACCAAATTGGAGAATAAATCATACTGGGGAAGAAAATTTCCAGTGAGGATTATCCAAAAGCTGGACATCAAAGAAATTTATATCATGAACTTTAGAGCACAAACAAGTTGGATACATAAAAGCGCCTTGACCCATATATATTCTCTTGTCCATATGTCATGCATCGGTTCCTTTTTTCTATCAAAATTTTCGTCCAGACTAAAACATTACATTACATTCCTAAAAGTATAAGAACGAGTTGATGATGTGGCATTTAGGGTTTAGTTGGAAGGAGGCTATCAAAAGTCTTGTCATTAGGTTGTTTGAGAGATAAGATCGGTTTTGATGAATGGATTTAGCCTTTGAGCTTTTTCTTTCAAGTTAGCTAGGAACTTCTTTTACTTTTACGATTTCATGTCTTTGAGTTGTATGAGAACATTCAAGTAGGGTTGATCGTCTTATCTTGTAGAGTGTTCGAGTCTTAGGCTAAGGAACTTGTTCTTTGTCTTGACTTTTGAGAGCTTTGATCTCAAGGTAATCCATGTCTAACCTAAATTGAATCGATTTTGGGGTTTTAGTGTTTGTAACTTAGGATTTTACTTACCTAAAGAGTTCCTAATTCCAATTCACTAGGGTTTTCATATTAGACATGGTCTGAAATAAATTATTTGGTTTAAATAAAAATATGAATCTAAAACATTGTAAGAGCCAAAGGATAAGTACTAATTATATCTATTTTAAACATGTTATTACCTAAATACAGCATGAGTGCAGCAGGCATAAACTTCCCTAGCACCCTCTTGATGTAAAAGAGCTGCACCTTTTGAAATAGTCCCTGTACCCAAAAAAAAATAAAAACACAAAAGTTTTCAGTTACAGTCACAGGCAACCTCACTGTGAATCAGAGGGTAAATCTAGAAAGCAGTTCAAACTTCAAACAAATAAGATGGGTCACTCGCCAAATACATGGGGAACGAACATTTTCCTAGCAAGTTTGAGGACATGAAAATATATAAAACGTTATTGACCTTCATTCTATGGGAAACTTCAATGCCTTGTATTGATCTGTGTTCTTTCTTGTTTTGTTCTAAACATTTTTCATATATTGCATCTCAAAAGAGACTATTAAACGACATAATATCAAGGTATCCACGACTTCTCACCAGCAGTATCAATCATGTCATCCACCATGACAGCAACTTTTCCTTTCACGTCACCAATTAGGTTCATCACCTGCAAGGTAAATTACAAGCATTGGTATTTCGATGTGAAAGATATAACATACCGGATCAATCCAGTAATGCAACATGTCTGTCAAACAGCATATAAAAAAAAAACTTCAGAAAGATGTTTAATACGTGGCCTGGATTTCATTCATCATGGACCCTAGTACTCCCACCTCTAGTTTAGGTAAAAAGAACCCCCCTTTTATCCATTTGCCATTCTAAGATCTATATCTAAATTATTTATTGTTCTGCATTTTTTTCTAATATCCACGAATATCTGTACGTTTTTGCACACACCTCGACTAGTCTCATAGGCCAACCACCTTACCCTAATCGATTTGCTTGCTAAGAAAACTTGAAAGATTTTAAATCCTATGTAGGTGACCATCATGGTTTGAAATCTTCCTTTAAGGCATTTTCTTTTTTCAGTAAAGTAGCTCCACTGTTTTGCATTATAAGCATCTCAAAATCACAGTCTTCTGAAGCTACTTACGATTATGATTAGTGAATCAAAAAAAAAATTAGTATAGAAAGTAAATAACTACATAGTACATTCTCATCCAAGTTTTAAACAGGCAACCAAGACCAAGAGGATGGGAAAAGGATTCGGTTGGATATTACCTCAGCAACATTGTGTGCTTGCCGCCTTTTGTCTACAATGGCTAAAGGAGCATCAGATAATTTTTTGGCAAAAGCACGAGCCCTTGCAACTCCGCCAACATCAGGAGAAACCACAACCAGATCATTGGAACAAATTGTTTTGCTGGCAAGGTAATCTAGAATCACAGGCTTGTGTACAGTTACAAAATTAGTGTTATAAAAAACCAAACATTATATAGATGTAAGAAGCAAGTTAAATACTAAATACCTCACAGTATACATGATCAACAGGTATATCAAAGTAGCCCATTGATTGTCCAGAATGGAGGTCACAAGCAAGAACACGATTTGCACCTGCTTCTGTTATAAGATTAGCAACAAGTTTGGCTGCTATAGATTCACGACCTTGAGTCTGGGAGGCAAAACATTTCCAAGAGAGATAACTTAATACCCTTATAAATCACACCTTGATATATATACTCCCTAGACTAGACTAAAAAAGATGAAACATCAGTAATCAGTTTTAAACTCTGACGTGTTCTCACTGTAATCAACCTTTTTCATAGTTCCCATCTACTCAAAACTATTACTAGACAATGTTGAGATTTGAGTATGTCTCTTCATATCACAAGCCACATATTTCATTAATAGGTTCAACAAGCTATTTTGAAGATCAAACTTGCCTTTCTATCAGCTCTGGCATATCCAAAATACGGGATAACTGCAGTGATGTTTTTTGCTGAAGCTCTCCGACATGCATCTATCATAACAAAAAGCTCCATGAGATTCTCATTTGCAGGAGGGCAAGTGGGCTGTATTATGTAAACATCACATCCCCGCACACTCTCTTGCAACTGGACATAAATTTCTCCATCAGCAAATCGCTTAATGTTAACCTTTCCAAGTTCCAAACCCATATACCTAGAAATTTCCTAAAAATAAAAACGGGGAGGTTAGAAAGTACATCCATGCAAAAATCTGAGAAGTACAGGGGAATGGCAGATCAAACCAAATAATTGAGGATGTTAAAAGCTTTGCATAGATTAATCAAGCTTCAAACACTGAAATGCAATAAAAGAAGAAGACCAACAATCTGAAACTTTTAGGTGAACAAAAGTTTGTGAGCAAAAATCAAGACTTTGAGGTAATTTATCAACAAATATTTATTCCTATATCATGTAGCGTATTTCTTAAGTGAATTTCTCTTAAAATAAAAAGCAAAATTTTGTACACCAGAGATTATTGTTCGAATATAACAACTTCCTTTAGTAGATAAACTGACTGGCCGATGAGGAATCAAATTCTGGACATAATAGCCTTAAATATTCAATTAAAAAGAAAAAATATGGTAGAACCCATAGATTCTAGACAAGCTAACGCATTAAGTAGTCTAGGAGAGTGCAACAACCAAGGCATCCGCATGACATATGCTTATTAGAAGCAGTTCTATATGTGGAAGGATTGACCTAAATACTTAAGATTTTCTTCAACAAGAAGTTTCTGCAATCGAGTAAAATTGGGGGTGAGTTTTTGCGCTTCATAATTTTTTTCATTAACTAATCTAACTGCTTCTCTGCATACTCGCTCGTTATAGTTAGAGGCAATGAACGGTGACAGTAATTAGTTGGTTGTAAACTTCAATACAAAAACATGAAATTTCAAGAATAAAGATGACACTGATGCAACTTGACGGCAGTGGCACATTATTTATTGTATTCTGAATAAAATTCAGACTATAACTATACTAGTGAATATTGCATCTTTCTACATGACCAATTTGATAATTCTAACAAATGGAAAAAGTTGACGAAGACTAACTTTAACATTTAACAAAAATAAATTGAAGATGGCATCGGATCAATAAAACCTATAACAATAGGAAATACACTGGATTTAGAATTTAGGACCTAAACAATATTTTAATAAAAAGAAACCATAGTTCGTTAATTTGCCAAACAAGTATTTGAGTAAACATTGACGGGAGTTTTACTTACCTGAGATAGTGCACGATTCGCAGTACCAGAGAACAATTTCAAACGGTTATTGCTTCTGTCGATTGGTCTCCCCATTCTAGCCGATTCCAAGAACTCCGGCAGACTACGTTCATTAAGAATAGGAATTATTGGCTTTCCATTACCATATCTGCCCGATTCAGGCAGATTACACTTCTGTTCAACACAAAAACTCACATTGAAACCACAAATAAACGAAATCGCAACAACAACACTCTCGAACAAATTATGATCCACAGACGTCGAAATTATGATACATCCAGAATGAGAATGTTGCAGAAACTGTAATTCAAAATACACGGAAGGTAAACAGAGGGAGCGTACGAAGGTATAACGGATGGAAGTTGTGGAGCGCGAGTCGTCGGAGAAGGAATCTCTGCGGCCGAGGAAGCAGGTGCGGTGCGAGGAGGAGGAGGAGGAGGATGAGGATGGACAGGAGGGGAGAAGCAGCGACGCAGCCATGTGGACGAAGCTAGGGCGAAGGAATTCTGGAGGTGTGGCGCAGTGAGTTTGGGCTGGAGCTCGTTATCTATGGCGACGGTGGTCCGCCATTAACAGAGGACTGTGATTCGAGTTTTGATTGATCTGTAAGGAAATTCGTCGCTGGTAGCGGATAGAGTAGAGGCGCCGTGTGGTGACACGGATTCTGAACTCCGTCCGACGTGGCAATTACAGATGAGTTAGGTTCGTTTTGACACGTTTTTTCCAAAGTTAACAATGCTATTAAAGAAAACAAATAGTAAAATAAACATCACATACTTCATAAACGTGACGGAACATAACAACTATTCATTTAAATAAATCTCAGATAGGCTTTGTCAATGGTTGAGATCTATACTGAATGCAATCTCATCAAATTGTAGTATAAGTATAAACATCACTCTAAATAAGATATGTAAAATAATGGAGGCTATATGAGAAGTTGATTTCCTTTGTTTACAAGGGTAAAAAGAACATAGTTAGGTGTTGTTTTCTATTATTTTACGCTCAGTAACCGTGTTTTTAAACTTAGTTTAGTGTCAAAACCTTTTATTCGGAGTTTTCTTGTGTTTTGCATGTAGGACATTTTTATATCACTTAGAGTTGATTTGTAACAAAAATTACGATTTTGTGTAAGAAATCACCAAGCTAGGCGATGGCGCCTTGTCCAATGTCGAGATTGTCCTTAATGTGAAGCTCATTGCATGAAAGTTGACAAGAGTTGGAGAAGTTTTGAAAGGATAACTCTCCACGAAAAGCTCAACTCCCTAATCACCTTGAAGCTCTCTACAAATTCAATAGCTTGTAGCTTATTACTTTTGAGTGGCAAGTTTTGAACTCCATTTAAATTTAATTTCAGCAAGTTCATTAATCTTTCATCTCAATTATCTCTTTTTACAAAGTTTGTAATCACACAATCTCGTGGAATGAATTTATATCTTCAAAATCACTTAGACATAAAAAGACGACGAAGAATAATTGATGCAAAATATAGAGAGGTGCTTGGTGTTGTGGGCATGCTTGTCCAGGGTGTGTTACCCATGGCCGCATGTCCAAACCATCCTCACCACTCGCTTTCCTTTCATGTCTTTAAA